TGCTAGGAATATTGACCCTTCACGTCTTCAATGGAAACCCCCAGTTTTCAATGCTTCCAGTAGGACATGGAACTGGTAATGGGGTTCAAGCATGGGACTAGTGTATAACTTATTGTTTTCGGATGGTCTTCAGCAAGCGATGCATGTTTATGTTTTTTTTTTGGCATTGGGTCTGGATGCGTGTGTTTTCTGTCTGTATACTACTGGTTGAATTTCGAAGGCAATTAAATATATTTACTTTTGACGCCATAACCACGTAGACGTGGACAGCATATAAAGCTGCAGCTTCCCAGATATACGCCCTCATATCGGATATTTGGAAAATTACAGGGAAAGAAAAAGACATAAAATTACAGGTCCTCAATTTCAAAACCTATCGCATCCTATGAAACGGCAAAGTATTGGAGTTAAGTAAAGATCTTGATTTCCTTTCGGAAGGTCTTTATCGGTGTGCTGAGGGATGTGAGAGTTGAGCTACTAGGCAGTAGAGGTTCGAGCGATAGTATTAGTGTGAGAAGGGTGAAGACAAAGCTAGCGGAGAGAAAAGTTGAACTAGGAGGGCAGAGAGATAAAAGGATGGTAAGAGGAAACAAGAAGGGGTGATCAAGGATCAATGGACGGCAAAAGAGAAAACGAAATAGGGGTAAAAAAGCTATCTGTGTTTGGTAGGATCTTCCCGAAACTGCAGAAAAAACACAAGCTCGACTAGTAGAAGAGTCCACGTTTGCTTCCATCTCACGACAATTAAAGTATTCATGGTATTAAGAGGCAAATATAGGGTGACGGCAAGAACTCATGATATCAGGCTCCTGTGGCGAGAAAACAGGGCTACTTCGAACTGCTTTGGTGTGATTTGTGAGAGCCTGTACGAGTGGAGGTTGAGAGCGAGGTAGAGGGGGTATTTGTAGTTGTAGACCCAGCCTTTTTGGTAGTCTGTGAATTTTGATACAATCCACTCCCATCTCTGGACCTAGTGTTCCTAGAACGGTTCTTGGGGTTCGAACGAATTTTTGCTGAGCTGCTTCCGCCTCGTTTGGGTAAGGTAATTGTTTTCAAGTCCTTGCCTGGTGGTCGAACAATAACAACGACTTCACCGTTGCTATCCCGTTCGATACCTGCCATGAGAAATGGGTCGATACTTTGTGATAAGACGGGTTTCTGGTACTTAGCCCGGAAGCGCGATTGCTTTGGGGCTGGGTGCCAGGCGGCCCGTGGCGCCATATCAGGAACTTTGACAACAGGCAAGGATCCCGCCTCGCGATCTTCAAAGATTGCTTCTTCTTCTTCGACCTCTTTTGTCGTTACCTTATCTGAATAGTCTATGATTTTCTGCTTCTCATCATGTTGTGGGAAAGATACGGCAGCGGATGAGACGCTTGATACCACATCTAGGGGTTCCTTGGTTGCGGATGCAACAGCAAGTGAGCTGCTTTTCCTCTGGGCAGGCTGGGACGTTTTTTTGCCGAATAGCCCATTAAATCTATCTTGCCAAGATGTGGTACTGGCAATTGGCTGTGGAGGTGCTCGGGCAGGAGGGCGTGAAGCAACCATAGCAGCAAATGTTGCAGGGGCTGGAGGAGGCGGTGGTGGACTAGGCACTGCGAGTGCACCAGGAGGGAGTTTGACGCGTGGCTTAGGGTTGGGGAGATGAACTAATGGTCTTTGAGAGTCGCCTGTGAAGACAGGATGGCTGGACACTTCCTCTGGCGGGGGAGGAGACTGGCTACGACGTGACATAGACTCTTGGTTACTTGGTCGCTTTGGTTCAGCGCCCTGGGGAAAGAAACGAGAGCCGCGAGCTGGGGGCGGAGGCACGACTTTTTGCTTATCACTGAAAGAAATGCCACCGACGGAATCTATTTGATGGAATGGAGAAGGTTGAGTATCCTTATTATCGGAGGCTTTCGAAACCACCCCGATAATATTCCGATTTCCTAAGCGCTCCCCAGTTTCAACTTGTCTCCATGTTTCGTTGAAAGTTGTCTGCAGGGAAGGACTAATTCCCGTCCTGGTTTCTTCTTCACGGAGAGCTTTGAGGTCCTGATGAAACCTTTCGTTCTCCTCCATTTCTGATTTTCTAGCAACTAAATGGAAATTACTCCAAGCAGCAGTTTCCTGATTACGGTGAGGCTGTCGGTCGTGCTGCCATCTTTGGCCTTGACTGTAAGACGGCGGTGCAATTGGACCAGGAGGAGCGATTGGTTTTGGATTATCACCCATGAGATCTGGCCGCACATGGTCAGGGGATGATAGAGGAGATAAGGGCTTTCCGTTATCTTGAATAGCCTTCGAGGGAGGAGGTAGCGGACGAGAAATTCCGTCAGGCATTTCTGCCCCTTCCTGGCCCGGTTGGGGATAGATATGCTGTTGCTCCGTCAGACCTAGCGAACTGAGATCTGATGGAAAGCTGGCGAGGTTTCTATCAAATGTTCCGTTGCCCAAAGCCTTATCGTTAGTCGGCGGTCCCCAAAGAGCACCAAGAGCTGCTGTATGGCCTTTAGAGCTAGGCCAAGTGTATGTGGATGTCGAAGGAACTGAATATTTCCAATTTGGTGGCCTTTCCTCTGGCTGTGGCTCGTAAGTTGACTGAGAAGTTTTAGCCTGAGCCTCTTGGGCAGGTTTTGATCCGTTGACAGTAGGTGAGGCTTCGGGTCGTGATTGCTTATGAGAAGGTGATAGTTGTTGGCTTTGAGCTTGGTTTCCAGCCTGCTGAAACTTCTCAGGGGCCTTCTCGGAAGACGCCACTAACTTCTTCACTGACTCGGGGTGATGCACTTTCATCATGCCGTATTGCTTGGGTTCTCCTGTTAGTTCCGGGACTGGTGGCTTTGGCGGCGATGCCATCGTAGTGGCAGTTGTTGCTGGTGGACCAGCAGACCGTTTCGTTTCGGCCGTTGAAGACTGTGTCGCACTTTTTGCGCCTGGAAGTTCATTAGGAGGTACGCCCATGGACTGAAGTTTTATCCTTATGCGTTCCTGTTTAGCGGCCTCTTCTTTGGCCTCTTGTTCTAAGCGTCGTTGTCTTGCCATTTCTCGTTTCTCTCGCATGATTCGTTGCTGCATTGCGACAGGGTCCTCAACCATGGTTGGGAGCTGGGAGGTTGGACCTTCTGCGGTACCTGGTAGGGGTGCGTTGCCTTGGGAATTAGTTGAAGACTGATGATAGTTGGGAGGTCCATGATCAAGGCTTCTGTGTGATTGCTGAGACGGAGATCCAAGACTTGGAGCGATTGGCCCATTCTGGAGTTGACGTGCATTTGGTGAGGCAGACCTCTCAAGTGTTCCAGTTGATGGAGGGCCACCTTTGAAAGGAAGATCGGGCCTACCCAACGACATTCTTCTAGCAAACCCTCCACTACCACCACTTACATTCGAGGAAGTGCGCCGGCGGCCCCAAGAACTACCTTCCGTAGGACTTCGGTGAGTCTGGAAAGCGGGCGAAGGCTCGGCTGGCCCAGGTTGCTCATTATGCATGGACCGTTGGAGGAGAGAGGCCGGTCTAAAATGGCCGTCATTCTTCATAGACTTATCGTTCCTTAGAGAACCATGGCGGTTGTCTGAAACAGGTTCGTATCTACCAGATTGAGAGTTGTATAGTTCACGGGGAGCGGCCGGCTGCCTATCCCTCCAAGACCTGTTGAAGTCATCTGCAGCGATTTCCTTTGTGGGAGGAGCCGATGCAACATTTGGTCTGTGGAGCTCAGTATGGTTAAATCGAGGGGGAGCTTGGCTCTGTGTAGGTGGATTAAGTGCTAGAGGAGACGCTTTTTCCACAGGCGGCAAGGGAGCCCAGGGCGATCTCACTGCAGCTGGTCCCTTTGACGATAATGTAGATTTGTCGTTGGTACTTTTTGATAAATCGCTACCCTGTTTAGATTGCTGCTTTTCCGCGCTTGCGCCGACTTTCAGGATTGTGGCATTCGACCCCAACGAGCTTGAAGGTTTCGAAAGTAGCAGTCTAGGTGCCTCGCGGGCGGGTGGCGCGTTGCTGACTGGTGATGGTTGTCTCTTTTGGTCAGCTGAATTGATAGTCGGGCCACTATTCTCTTGCGAACCTGGCGCGGTTCCTTCTGTATGGGTTAAGGTGATTTTGGTGCCATCATTCCACTCAATAGTCTCGGGGGCCCAGTCATCTTCATCATCGTCAATATCGGCCCATTTAGCCTCCTTTTCGTTGTTATCAGTTTGTATGCGTGATGTCATGTGGATTCCGTATTGCTGCTTCAACTCTTCGTCTGTAAGATGCTTTGTTGGAGGCGGCTGGACAGCTGTATACAGATCTGTTAATCGCAGAAGTAGTCAAGCTATAACTGAATATAACTTACGTCGGTTCTTATTCCATACTAAATTCGCATCGGGGGCCCCAGAGACATTTTTATTTCCAGCGGTGGATGTTCTCGGAGAAGAATCTCGTAGCCCGCTCCCAGATTTTGCGACCAGCCGTGGTCTCGAGCTTAAAGGGGTGGAGGTAGATGAAGGCGGAGTTGATGCTAAAAATGGTGCTGTATCGATAGAATCAACATTCAGTCCTTCAAAAGAAAATAGAAAAAAAAAAAAAAAAAAAAAAAAACCTCGATATAAAAAGGGAGGATATGTACCTTTCTCCGGAGTTGATTTGTTATTCCCATTCGATCCCGATGGCTTTGTGACGGAAAACTTAGCGAATGAAACAGGTTTGAACGATGCCGGCCTTTTAACAGAGCTCGTTCGGGAGTGCTGTGCCCCGTCCGCGTTAGATCGTGCATCAGGTCGGCTCGCATCCGTATCAGACCCTCCACTTCCATCTCCAACATTCGGCGACAGGCTGGCCTCAGCATCGTTGTTATCTGCCCCAGCCCCGTTCGCTTCGGTCGACGATGGGTTACCCGATGATGTTTCCTGCGACGGCTCTGCGTTTACCTTTGGTGTTGAGTTGTTATCAGAAGTTTGAACATCCCCCCGGTCCCCTCCAGCAGTCAAATTGTCAGGTTTGCTCGCAGGAACGTCGGAAGGCGAAAGGTCGCCGCCCGACCGGGTTTGGTTTACCACATCGTTGCTGCTCTGCTCTGCCATAACAATGCTCTATGTAGCTTCAAGAAACATGGGTCAGCCCCAGCCAATATCACAGCTGTCATCACTCTTTCTTCCGCAAGGAACCCAGCAAGGGCCAGCCATGGTATAAAGGAGTGACATACGTATTGTCAAAAACTATGTATGGCGACGGAGAACCACCCAAGTAGCCTATCCGCAGGGAGGACTTTCACGAGAAGGTCGTTAGAACACGCGTTGGCCGGAGATGCAGTAGAAGCTTCCTTGCTATCCTGGTGAGGCGAAAGAAAAGAAAGAACCAAAAGTGCCAGCTACAGTAAGCCCAGGGACACTGATAACAGGCCGGAAACAAGACACCGGATGTTGTCAAGATAGTTGACGAAGTTGAAAATCCTCAAAATCAAGAAGAAAAGTGACAACTTTGAACGATGAAGGAAAGTCAAAGGGCCAGCATTGCCAAGACTTATCGCCCAGATCGGGTTAGCGCAGCCTCTACACAAGATGATTTTATGATGTTTTATATTAGATGATATTTATAGAGGGAGACAGAGAGAGAGAGAATGTGTGTGGGTGTGTGTGTGTGTAGCAAGTGAATTCATTCTATTGAATATCTACATATGTGGTACAGTGTCGTTGGGATCCGACTAGTGAGGGTTGTTTTTGTGGTGGCCTGGAGGTGGAAGGTATCGATTAGACGACCTGTGCTATTTCAGAGTGCAAGAATGAGAGGCAGGGGAACTCACGGAGGTGGGTGACGTATTGTATGCTGTATCCGAGGAGGGTCAGACCGACGATGAGGTGGACAAGAGCTATGAAGAAAGCAGTTAACAGTGCAACTCTACAGTGGCCAACAACCAACAGCAGGAACCCCGAGACAGTTAGAGTATGTGTGGGTAGGCTAGGACTCACGGGCAGAGGAAGCGTTCTTGCCAAAGTAGGCGGCCTGGTAACGGGCAAAGATGCCGGTGGGCTTGACCTCGGGAGCCGGTCCGCGTGGGAGCCTGGCATAGAAGTCGCTTACACGCTCCATGCGGGCAGCATCCTTAGCAGCACCAATTGCCTAGTGACATTGTTAGCTAGCTGTGACATTTTCCGCATTGTCCGTCCGTATAACGTGTGTATAAGCTCTTGTCGTCTAACTTCACGTCGAAATACGGCGTCAAACGGAACAACGCTCAATTGAGGGGATGAACGATCCGGTATACGAACCGAAGGAGAGGCAATCTGTAGCAGTGGTCAGCCATCCAATTGATATTCTTGACATTCCCATCCAAGTGAACACGAACGTACCTTTGGGGGGATGAGGGTAGAGATCCCTCGTCGGACAATGAAGCTCATGGCTGCTCGGATCTATCCGCGAAAAACACTGGGTTAGCGCATCAAATAAGAACAGCAGTCCATCGGCCAGGTCTGCCAGAGGTCAATTACCGTAGACACAGGTCACCGACTAAGTGCTGGTGATGGGCAATCGAGAGTATTCGTACTTTTTCCTTCTCGAATGGCTTTTGTCGTCTTTGCGAATGAAGTTGAAGTTGCAACGAGAGCGCGCTAAACCGTATCGGGACATCGGTGTAAGTGAAATTCCGGCTTCCTTTCGGACATCCCGTGATTTTGAACATCTTCGAAAGAAGTTGGCTTGGAGACGCAGTTCTATATATCAAGGCCAAACACGCCAGCATACCTCAGCTCTACGATGTCGTTGATGCGAGCTGGTGGGCCCTCCGCCATGGGGTTGGCCTGCACGCGCACCCTTCGATCCGCATACGCCCTCAATGCCCGGTACCTGAGCTCCTCCGCCACCCGTCAAGCAGCCGGAGACGTCAAGACCACCACTCAAGATGCCCCCGCGACACCATCCACCGGAAGCGCTATAACCCGCAAAGAGTCTGCCGGTGAATCAATCCCACGCCATCAACCAGACTATAACGCCACCGTTGACCACGGCACTTCGTAAGGACTCTCCGCAGTCGGTGCTTACGTATATATACAATGCTAACTGTCCCTCTAGCCTGTTCTCCCCCGTCCCCAAGCGAGTTATGGATGGAAGTGAGCCAAGCGAAGTTGTTGCTGCCGCTGTTCTCTCTGGTGCTCCAACAGACCTCCAGGCCCGAACAGTTAGGTATGATTCCAGCAGCGTAGCTCCCGGTTGATGGCCCCATCTTACTTACCCTTGTTCCATCGCAGAATATACCGTAGCTCCAAACCGGCCACCCAATCCGGCACCTGGCGTAGCCACCACTGGAGGATGGACTGGGATGTGCTATCCAAGGGCCACCGCTGGGAAAATCCATTGATGGGATGGCAATCCTCCGCAGATGCCATGCAGGGAACCCATCTCAACTTCAGATCGAAAGAAGACGCAATTCGATTTGCTGAGAAGCAAGGCTACGAGTATTTTGTTCAGGAACCAAATGAGCGTGTCTTCCGGCCCAAGGCTTATGCCAACAATTTCCTACACGAGGCCGGGAAGCTCAAATACATCAAAACTAAATAAGTGGCCTGTTGCTTCAAATCATTTCATGTTGTGTATATACTATTTTCACAAGCAGCAAATTGTACGCTGTAGTTCTAGAAATTCATTACTGTTTGTTAGGTATCCCATTTGGTTAATTTATACTAGAAGCTAGGGCTCCTGAACTCGCATGGCAGGATGAGAAAATATAATCTATTGTGTTTCTTAAGTACGCTTGTTTTAATTACAGATTACCTACCCCTGGTGGCATAATGATATAATAGATCTCTCTGGCCCAACTCCGCTGAAACCATAGGTGCCGTTCCGCCGTCATTGCTCACCATATTGACGCTCGCTTTTTTGAGATGAATTAAAGCCAGTGGAATGATCCATGCGCCAGGTCCCTCCCCCCATAAATAAATGAAATGGCATAAAAAGATGGTATAGTATACAAGGTAGAAATAGAAAATGGAAGGCTTCAGTCAATATCGGTTTCCTCGTCTGAACCGTCACTGGGGCGTTTGCTTCCTAATTTTGGCCTGCCCCTCGCCCTCTTCTTAGGGGTGGTGGCGCCAGAAATAGAACTCTTTCGTTTCCCAGGTCTGGTTGTAGCGCCAATAACATTGCTCATGTCATTTACATCGGCAAACGGGTCGGGGCTGCCTCGATCCTCATCACCCGCAATTTTAAGTTCATCATCTACCGACATTAGAGTAGAAAATTCACGGCACATGTTGGTCATCGATTCTGCATTGTCCAATGATTTCATAATTCGTGCTACTGCCTCCCAGAATCGATCGCCAGAGATTCCAGGGACTTTTGAAGCAGGCTTGTTTAACTCTTTTATAGCAACTTTGCCTTCTTTTTGTAGCGCGTGGAAGTTCAAGTTGTAAAGACGGCGTAAATAAGATCTCGTTTCCCATAACATTGATAGCCCTGCAGCAGCTGTAGCGAGCCGCTTTAGAACTGCAGAGTCGATCAGGGGGGGCATATTGTTGGGTCCTCCCTCTGGTTGTTCAACCACCCCTGCCACCTTCACAGAGAGTAATTCAGTCTCTATGGAATGGGCCACAGCAGTTCCAGTTGTTCCCACGATACGTTCCATACAAGAAATTGCAGCCAAAAGCTCGGCAACTTGGGTGTAATCGAAGAATGCAACATTTTGACAAACAAATCTTGTAAGCTCTAAATATTCAGGAGGTGTCCCCGAAGAGTCTAACTTCTTCAGCTCGAAGTTAGCTTTAGAACAAAAGTTCGTGAGAAACTTCTTTTGATACTTGCTGTTACTTAGTTTGATAATGTCAAACAATAAAGCAAGTTTTGGGGCAAATGGCCTAGCGGAAGCGCCAGATGAGTCTCCAATGACGTCTCGTTGATAGTAGAAGGCATCTTGTATAGCCCTCATATACTCACGATCAAACATAGACTCGTGTTGTTGGTGAAGCATTTTATGAATTTCATATGCCGTATTCGCGATAGTTGAATTGGGTGATGTTTCCAAAGATACTAACACACCTGCGCATTCCTTCGGGTGGATAAGGCCTTGTCGATTAATACTTGCGATAAGTTCTATCGCAGTTAATGCGAAAGAATCCTGCTTCGACATGGCGGCATGAAGCATTTGAGGAAGGAAATTTTGCGCGATTAAGGCAGCTGCACCATCGTTTGCACTCGCTTTCAATGAGCCTCCAAGTCTGCTAGTGTCGGTATTCTCGCCGTTTGATTCAGCAGTATTGATGAACTTCTCTGATTTGCCTTCATGGATAGAGAAGAAAGTTAAGAAAGTTTTTAGGACAATGTCCTGAAGGTCCCCGTTGTCTTCTTTGAAAACAGAAGAAAACGCAACCCTAGCTTTCTCTTTGCCATACTGTTCTGGCCAGGTTTCACATACCGACCCCAAGCTCTCCAAGGCCATGATTCTTAGTTCATGAGGATACGCAGAGGACGCAAATGGAGCTATAAACTCTACCATGAGCCCAGAAACAGACTCAGTATTGGATTTAGGGAATGCCTGAGTAAAAAATGATGTGTATTTCTCCAAATCGCAGTGTTTTCCGACACAACCGGCAATTCTTATATAGCTTCGAACGCGGCCAAGAGCATCGGCACTCGTGGAAGCGTCAAGTTTTGTATTTGACGCTTGATAAATGCCTTTGAGGACAGATATTGTGAGCTTGACTAGCCGTTCTGTATTCTGTAAAACTCCATTTATGGTCCAGAGACAAGCCATGACTTCGTTAAGTTCAGTCCTAGCTAATTTGGAAACGCTTTTGAAAAGATCGTTTTGAATATCTTTGAGTAGATTGTTGTGGGCTGATGAAAGATGTGGAAGCACACAGCGATATATGACCACCACAGAGCGGAAGAGTAGCAGATCATCGGTGCTTGATAGGTGTCCAATATAAGGATGAAGGGTCTCAAGCTGGCCTGGAGTAAGAAGTCTAGCATTGGATTTCGCAAACACCGTTAAGGTCCGAAGATGCGATTGCAGAGACCTTTGATCAGCATTGGACCCGTGAACCACGTTTTCAAATAGAGTAGCAACCGCAGCCTTGCATATTTTGAAATTTTGTGACACTGATTTGGACTCGGAGTGAAGGACCGTTTTGAAGAAAGATTCAAGGTTGGCCACTACCTCGTCACCTCGTTGCACTGCACCGATAAACAGCGCAACCAACTCTTCGAGAGCTACCTTAGCCTGGGGTGTGTCGAAACCGTCCGTGGCATGAAGCGGTGACAGCCAGAGCTCTTCCAGAGCTTGCCGTGCTAAAGTTGCCACGTTGGTTTCGTGATCTTGCACTCTCTTTAGTACATGCTCTATTACTGAGATTCTCAACTCTTTATTCGAGGTTGCCGCATATACATCTTTCATCAGGCCGATGCATCTTTTTCGCACACCGACTGTTGGGTCAGAAGCGCAAGCTAAGATTGCACGGCAACACTCGTTCTCTAATGCTGGTTTGAGGGATATGCACCGGGCGGTCAGCGTAAGTGCGGAGTCCCGGACCATTGGAGAGGAGTCCGCTGCGCATCTGAGAATCAAGTCCATAATAGAATCGTCTCGGTCTAGCAAGCTTGGGTCGCGTTCAAGCATATGAATAACACTTTTTAAACTTCTACTGCGCACCTTTGCTTGGTCACTAGAAATCGAGCTGAGTAAGACTTTAACGATGGTGTCGAAGGCCTTGCAGAATCCACTACTTAAAATAACTATCAAATATGCGAATCGAGCTTGCTGGGCTGAAATGGTCTCGAATTCACTAGAACAACGTTAGCTATCGGGGTGGCATTAAAGTATAGGGTGTAACATACCGATGTTGCTCGAGCCATTGGGGATCGGATATCAAACTTTTTAATGATATAGCAAGCTTTCGAACAGAAGAGTCGCGAGACAAGGCCTCGTTTTGAGCGTTCTGAGCGGATTCGCAGTGCACGGTGCATGCAGTCTTAGCCCACGCCGTAAGAAGGTAGTCACGAGCACTTGGGAGGTGTGAACCAGCAACATCTTTAGTATTCAGGTACTCGAGTGCGATACGATAAGGACCATCACGAACGACCAAATCTTGAACATGTAATGAGCGACCGATATGATTGTCGAATAACTGCCTTATGTACTCCGTCAATTCAGAATCGCCTTCGTCCGTTGAGTTATTTAAGTGTTGTGCAGTAGAGGTCAAATCCGATATTGCTGACCCCATCCAGCCCAATAGTTCTAGGGCCATATTTTTTGCATTAGCTGTGCTTTTATCGTGCTCGGCTATCCCTACCATTTGAGAAGCGAGCACACGTAAAAGAAGTTCAACGCCAGGCCATTCTGAAGAGCCAAGTATACTTATCAAGTCTTCCGTAAATAAATCTAGGATATTTCTGTACGGTTGGTCGCCAGTTTTCGTTGAAGTCATAGCTCGCTGGACAATAAATCTGGTGATATATTGCGCGCTGCGTACGGCATTATCATAGGCCTGGTCAACCTGTTTGGAAAGACTTATAAACGGTGAAGTGTCGTCTTCATCCTCAGAGCCTGACTCGTCATCATCTGAGCTATTATTGTTCCGCCTGGATGGCCACAGCTTGGATTTGGTTGCGTTTTGCGAAGACCCTCTAAGCGCAGTTGTTTGAACAAGTTGTACAACCAACGCGGAAAGTAGCTGGATGCTTTTGCCATCCGTTAGCTTGAACTGTCTAGCATTTTGTCTGGTAGAAGGAAGCTTCTCCAGAGAAACAAGAATCTCGTCTAGGATGAAGGACCGCTGCTCAGCATATTTGGCAAATATCTTTGCAAGCATATCCATAGCGCAACGTCTAACTGCCTCAAATTTCTGAATTCCTATTGTGGATTCTTTCTCGTGATGGGCGTTCTCAACGAATATTAACTTCGTTGCCATAAATTCCATAGCCGTGATTGCTCCCTCAACAAGATCAACTGCAGAGAGAAAAATGCCTAGCTGAGACAGGACTTTCCTCGACTGTTGGGTTAAGTTCAATATTGCTTGCTTCTGGCCTGAATATAGACTGAAAATGGCCGCGTCTTTGCCATTCGGCCTGCATTCGACTGCTGGTATGATACAGTGTTCAAAAATATGATTTAGAGCGGTTGGAATAAGCTGTATCATGTCTTCAGAGCAAAGCTCTTTAGCATCGGTACGGCCGTCCATAGTATGAAGGAGGGTACCCATAGCGAGCAGTGCATTCTCTAGGCCCCCAAGTAGTTTTGCCCAATTTTCCAGGCTAGTATCCGACATGTCACTCTCTGTTGTAGTATCAACAGACTGAACAGCCATGATGGGAGCTTCACAGAGTTTCTGGACTCGCGTTATAAATTCATTAGGTATATCGCCAAGTTTACCATACCCCGATACACTTCTGAATGCCTTCTGTAGCTGCTTATGAGCGTCGGACGATAGACATGGTTTGCTATCTTCGGTTGCATCCATGGCGTAAAAATATTTATTAGCATTCTGCTCTTGGTCTTGCGAGCTTTCGAGCTGCAGTTCATCCTCGCTTTCAAATACATCTTGTAAAAGTGACTGTAGGTTCGCTACAGCAGTATTTATCACCTCCCTCTGGTCTCGAAGTTTTACAGATTCCGTTTGTTGTGTGGATGGCGACCGAGGCCGCCGTTTGGACATCTCGGGAATATGTTGGTACTCGCTCAGTTGCGAAGGATCGGGAAACGCTGGAACCATGATGACAGGTTTTACCGATACATCCGGTAGCTGGTTTTTGGAGGCCACTTTATTACCATTATCACGGATATTCCTATCATGTTGGTCTGGAACGGGATACGGTTTCAAACGAGGGGCCTGCTTTAGCGGACTGGGAGAGCTCGGCGACGGGTCTGCAGATAAGTCAGCAAATATGTATAGATAATGAAGTCCCAAAAGGCTTAAGAAGATTGAAGAGCGTACATCTATAGGGCACATTTGTAGTATCCAGCACCATCTTTGCAAAAGGTCCAAGCCGCTCATGAGCAGTGAATTCCATGTTGGCTGGTGGTGTCTGAGTCTTCTGAGAGGGACGAGGTTGACTTATCCGCGGGGGCACCTTAAATTGACTACAACCGTGTTATCATCAGCAAGGTGAGCCATGGAAACATGCCAGAAAAGAGGGGGAAACGTACATCTTCGTCAGGCCATCGCCCACCAAACCTTCGCCTATCAGCAGGTTATGTATATTCTTGCGGACGCTCTCAATATAAGACGAGTCCGTAGAGCTTGCTTGTGTTTCGTTGTCGAGGGTATCTACTAATCTGCCGGCGGTGTGGGAGTCGTAGGTGCGCGCCCAATTCGCAAGTGAGGGTTGCTCGATATCCGGCCGCAAGATAGAATCTACAGGAGGCGGCAGGTCAGCGCAGCGTCACTCACAGATGGACAGACAGACCCCAACCTACCCAGGCCAAATATCGGCGCACTCGTCATGGGCGAGAACTGCAGTGCTGCGTCCACCGAGAGTGGACGAGGCAGTCGACGAGCTGCATCGTAAGTCGAGCTGCCTCCCCCTGGGATCGCAACTTCAAACGGACGCTGCATGGTAGTGTCCTACTGATTAAGAGTTTTCGATGGATGGTACGAGAGGCAGGCAGCATTTCGGTATCTCGTTCAGTGCCATTGGTGATATCCCATATTATCGAATAATCTGCTCGAGACAAACAGCTACAGAAACGCCTCTATCTCGATTAGCTCGTCGGATTATTTATACGATCAACTCCTTGCAAGGTTGCATATTTAGCGCCACAGCCACAGTTATATAATCAGACGAGCCTCTTTCAAGATCTAGGGAATTATCCTTTAAAACTACTAGCTTTCTTTAGTGATGAGCAGCCAGCGACAAGATAATGTCGATTTTGGCAGGTCAACCAGTCAATCCTAATCCTGCATAAGTACAGGTAGTTACAAATGTCCTCATAGCTTTTCCTCTTAGCTACATTGCTAAATGTCTCCTATTCACTCTTGTGAACAGCTCTTTGTTCTTCGAAACAGCGCCTTTGCCCACAGATGTTTAAGTATATTAGTACCTAAGACGATCCTCTAGCTTTGAGCAAAAGACTTTAGTCTTACACAGCATCACCTTGTCAAGGAAATATACCTCTAGCATGCAATCCCGCCACAGAAACGGTTCTACTTGATATCATAAAACCAAAATAAGAACTACTGCCTTTAATATTCATGTAGCACGTGACTATATGATGATTAGTCATCGGTTTTGTCTGGCAGTGCTTTATTACAAGCCAAACTAGTGAATATTCATTCATTTATACTGCCTTATATCCAGTGTTTCAATATCATAACCAACAGGTTGGCCTATAGCACCGTAGAGGGACTGCTGTAAACTGTTATGCAAGGACCATCTCTCAAATCAACCGCAATTCGGGCATATACCCCAGTACTTACTGGCTTAGAGTCATATGTTGGGCTACAATGTGGATGTTACCAGAAAGTGTGGGCCTTCTGAAGCAGCCGGACTCGCGTTGCTATGATCGTTCTATACTCTGATGAGCCCCGATATGGCTATTTCATCCAAGCTCGCCGAAGAGGGTGAATAGAGCAATATTTACATGCTGACTATAGTCATCAAAAGGAAATATGCTATTTGTGGTAGGTGACTACTCCCAACTTCAGTTGGACGTTATGTATTCACTGGCCTGTGTACTATGTATTTGAAAGTGATTTGGTAAACACGAGCTTCCATCCCCTTTTAACCATTTCACACCCCTTATAACCCCGGGGACGGCCACCTGACCTCTCTTGTTCGTTTCTGTCGGAATGAACGTTGCATTCAGCAGAAACCATGCTGGAGCCAAGTATATGCTCATTCCCACCCCGAAAATGTACTTCCAGCCTTGAAATAAGTACCTCCATATCTTCTTTGGAGAGGGAGCTCCCAGCGAGAATATTAGCGGCTGCTTCGCATCTTTCAGACAGTTTTTCTTCTGGGAATTTATAATGTGCCCCCATACGGCTCAGGTTGGCCTTGCGGAGCTCATGTTCCGCTAAGTACTCTTTAGCAAAATGAAGAAGACAGCCTTGATGACTGGCTTTGGTAAGCGCAGGAGTTGTGTTAAGAAATTGGATTAATTCGTTGTCTGCCCCCCCCCCCCCCCTCCCTGAAATATCAATATCCGAGAAGATGGATTTCGCCTTGTCACACGCACAATTTCTCCCAGTGCTACTTCTATGTCCTTAACGGACTCAAACATCCATGATGCCAGGACAATGTCAAACTTCCCAGACGGGAATGGTAAGCTCTCAGCAGAACCATCAAATAAGTGGACGTTGGAGTTGATGCTAGCACCATCTACAAGATCTTGACTATTATCAGTGTCCAATGCGAAGTGGTATTGCTAAGAAACAATTTGCGAAATAACAGGACTTCTTCTGTGACAACCTCAAGGAAAGCATCTAACTCAAAACTTGTAAAGCGGTCCACTGGATGGTGACGGATATGCATAGAGAGCAGCTCGTCTTTTGTTGGAGATGCATATGGACCCAGGAGCGGCTGGTCTTCCACCTTTCTTGCCAATAGGAGGTAATGAACCTCAGGGTACTTATGGCCTGGGCCATTTGGAGTGAAATAATAGCGGACCTCAGACTCGATATTGAAACCAGTGCATTGAAGCATGTTCTTCCATCTTTCCTCGGAAAAGAAGGCCTCGCTGGTATAGCTATCCATCCATGGTTTCCTTAGCTACCGGACGCAATCCCATATGCAATCAGGAGTGTATTGAGCTTCAGGCAAATCTGTGCTCGGAGTCACCCCAATAATCGCATACCCACCGGCCTTGAGCCATTCAGAGAACTTGAAGCACATCGAGTATGCTTCTCCTGGGGTAATTTGGAAAAGAGAATCACAAATACACCATCGAAGGGACACTGAGGCTCATAATTCCGCATGTCTGCCTTTACGAATGTACCGTCCACTTGAGCGGAGGCAATATCAATCATATTCTGGGAGACATCGATTCCGTGGACTTCATGACCAGCAGAGGCAAGGATATCCGCGACTGGCTTACCCGTTCCGCACCCAACATCAAGAACTTTACTATGGTTTGGGATGCTCTTCATTGCAAATCGCAGAAATTCCTTAAGATTAGGGTCATTGGTGAACGCATCTTCGTAACGCTTTCCAAAAGTATCAAAAAGAGCCTCTGCAGTCGTCGCCATAGTTGAAGATAATGTGAGGATACGCCGTATCTTTGAAGGAAGTCCTACAATGTTACCAGGACAAGGATAAACCAAGGGAGATATATTAGCACGCAGCCAGGGGGCATTCCTTTGCACCCGATATAAATAGTGAGAGCTCAGCGTATACTTACTTTCAATTGGCAAGCTGCAGAGTGCTCCAACTGGCTGATGAACCACCCACGTATGAAAATGCCCACTTCTATAATGTAGGCCAATTTCATAATTGACCACTTTCATAGACTTTAACAACTTCCCTACTCGTCCGTTCGTCTTCACCATATCGGCTCAACATTACATGTATTGCTTGACAATATTAGCGTATAACTACTGCATCTTGGCTATCTAAATTCTTTAACAACTCTAGCGATGGAATATCGAGAGTTGTACAGGACACTTCGCACATATTGTCAACTTGCCTAATCTACGTCTATGCAGCAAGTTAACGGAGCATGAGAGGACCTGAGTAGGTGTTTAGATATGTACTGGCCAAATGGAGTGCCCCGAGTCTATGCAGTGAACGGTCCTGAGATAATACATCAAGGAACAATAATCTATTCCCCCGACTTCCTGCAGGATACTGTTTCACGATCAATAGCGTTCCAAAACTGTATACTAGAAAATGAAGCCCTATCCAGTAACTCTATAGTAGAAGCCATCATATATAACGAATATGGGGAAAGCTACTTTAATTCTTCAAATTTGTTCACTCGAGGTTTAGAGTACGTTTAACGAATATTTAAGTATGCTGAAAAAGCCTCCACCAATAAAAAGTTTGCCGAATATTTCGACTACAAAGATCTTTTCTGCTTATATTACATCGATCTCCCATCATTCAATTCGCAAGTCACCTATTCAACTTACCTCTTTTTCCCTTTTTCTTCCTTCGACTCTACTTATCTTTTCACGATGTCTGCGATTGGATCTCTGATATTTTGCGTTGACTGTGGCAATCTTCTGAACGAATCCACCGGCGATGCTAACACGATCCTCACCTGCGACATCTGCGGAACCAAAAATAGAGGTAAAGTGATCATTCGAATCAGTTTAATCTTATACCTAGAGCAACAGCTTATGCGTAGCTTTAGATTGTGCTTCCAGAACTATTGTTTCGGAATCCAAGCCGAATGCGTTCCCATCGGCCCTGCGAGCGAAAAGCTCTGCAGTCCGCGCGTTAACTGAGGAAGATAGACCAGCGAATGCAGTAATCCAGCAGACCTGTCCAGATTGTGGTCGGACGGAGATGAGATACTATACGTTGCAATTGCGTAGCGCAGACGAGGGAAGCACGGTGTTTTACACTTGCGAATGCGGGCACAAGTAAGTGGTCTTTAGATAATGAAACATACTTTTTATTAACCATCTATCTCAATCCAGGCATAATACAAACAACTAAAGAGATCATGTGTGCATCGTTTCGAGGTTCATTAAACATGGTGAAAGGCCTCCAGACGGGCAGGTATTTAACTGGCAGCCACCGGCTCTGGAATCAAGCTATACTCGAGTTCGCCGTTTTTCTCATATTCCGCCATATCGAGGGCCACTACAACGCTGTCCTTAACGACAACTTCAGGATCATCAAGGAACTTCCTCAACACCTCCTCCACACCTTCCTCGTCACCGAGGCTTCCGAGAGCTTCTGCGGCTTCGTGACGGACCATACTAGCCTCTTCCTTGTTGCTGAGGGCTTCTACCAAGCTAGGAATGCTAGCGGGATGAGAGAGCTGTCCGAAAACAAACGCAATTTCATGTCTGAACAACGCTGATTTATCCTTGAGCCCCTCTGCCAACGCTTCAACTGCTTCGCGAGCTGTTGGCCGGTCTGGCGGGGAGGAGAGGTCACGTAATGCAAACATTGCGCGATATCGTTGGAAGAGAGGAATACTTGTATCGAGAAGAGTCTTCTTAAGCTCTGGGATTGAATGTTCCTCGGTGGTGAGGGCTGTTGGAGGAGCAGGGTCGATGGATGTGAAATCACTTGATTGCACGTTAGTTACCGCTTTGTCCATACTAAATCATACATCTCTCTCTTATTCATCGTCACACTGAAAAACTCACCTCTTCTTAACCTTTTCCGTCTGTCGTTGTTCGGATGTTTCCCAAAGAATTCTGTCCACCGCGATCTCACAAGTTTCTCGAACGACTTCTGGCTCACTTGGATCATCCCTTAGTTTCCGTAACAAGTCCAGACTTGATGTGTCTGCCAACGCCCCTATAGCCTCCGCTGCCTCGTGCCTACACATGCTATCTTCATCTTTATCCTCTAGTACATGACGCAGAGAGGGTATCGCATGTGGATTTTTAGTCTGACCAAGGCAGTAAGCTAGCTCATGCTTTAATAACGCAGACGGCGAGGGAAAGGCTGCCGCAATAGCCTCTATAGCTGGGATGGTGTCGTCGGTTGGAGGCTGCAGACATGCTAGATGTTTGAGTGAGAAGAGGGCGCGGAAGCGGCGGGCCAGCGGGGTAGTTTCTGAGGTCAGAGTATCTCTCAGAGCTTTTACTGTCTGGCTGACATTGTCGATTTGAGTATTGCCGTTGGTGCCGTCGTTCGCCATTTTGATATGGTCTAAAAAATAATATCCGCCAGGGACGTGATAGAGAATTCCTGGTGGGATGGTCGAGGTCGACTTTGAATAAAAAAATACTTCCTTATCAGAGTTTTAAGCTACTTGTTAGTGCCCCTCGGTGCCGGTTATAGTAGAGTCTCCCCTTAACTCCGACTAACGGTATTTCTCTTGGTGGATTCATGGAACAGAGACTTGTTTACGCACGTTTGACAGAGGACTATATAGAGGGGGCTTTGTACATATACCAACGAAGCTATGTCCACGGTTAGAATACCTGGTGATTTAGTCACAAATATTGTACGGATTTAAAGCAGCCCTTGAAAAGCTCTATTGTATTTTATTGGCATAGTTTAGACATAGATGGAGACACTGAAGTAAAGATATATACTTTCCAATACTTGACTCTAGGCCTTGACCTCTAGGCTTTGACTGCTCAATGTAGGTGAGACTTGAGTATCACCTCTAAGCATGCTCGAACCCGTAGCTGATATTACCCCGTGCACTACGGATGTTTGTAGTCAAGTAAAAAACTGGTAAGGATAAGTCTGATAGTGCAATATTATCCATGGAGACCATGTCAAAGAAGACCTCCTTATGGAATTGCAATAAATAATAATACTGCCTTACCTGTTCATATATATAGTAAACCAAGAAACCGGGGGCAACCAAACGGCGCCAAACGCGGCGCTGGTGGCCTCTCGAAAAAAAAAAAACAGCCCAGCGCTAGTGGACCCTCAAATCGCCGCCCCCTTGACGCCTCTTCAATGATCTAGCTGTCTCAGTCTGCCTCAGAAGGCGAAAAAACACTCCTGGAGAAGAAAAAAGGAGAAGCTGAAAAAGTATTTTTAGTATTAAAAGAAGAAAAAGAGAAAAAAAGTTCTTCGGGTTTCGGCATAACATTGTTCCTAGGATTACATAATACCCCTGACTAAACAAAAAAAGTGACGCAGCAAAATCAACAAGGAAGAAGAACCAAGGCATCATTTATCATCGCCAACATTCTTACATCCTTGAGAACCAAGCTGACCGATGTTCCTGGTGCTGAAGCCGCATTCATATACCTCTGCTGCGTCCATCGGCTCTGGACTCCAATCTCAATGGCTGGGATGAAGTCTCTTTCTTCTAATACTTAAAACAAAAAACTTCATTTCCTAATCATGTTATCTCATTCTATACGCTCCCGTCTACCGGGATGCGCCGCTTGCAGGATCACGCAACGCTCTGGATATAGCACTGTCAGGGGTCTGCCAAAGGCGATGCCTGTTCGCCAGTCTCTATCTGTCTACCGACACTCCTTTGCGACCCAGAAGGCCTTCCGACGCTCCCGACTACCCTCTCCAAGATTGCAATGCCGCTCTCTAACCACCGAGGCGAGCCCTGCGCCCGAGACTTCAAAACGAGAACGTCGCGGCCGGATACTGCGTTTTGGATATCGAGTATTGGCGTTCAGTGGTGGTGTGATGCTGTTCGGTGCAGGGCTCGTGGGTGCATTCTTCGTATACGATGCATCTACCTACCGCACCGACGCAGACAACGTCGACATTCCAGTCTCGCAAATCGCACTCAATCCACGGCGAGGGGGCCCTAAGAACCTTCCCATTGCCGAAGTCCTTGTTGACGACCATGACTGTGATATAAAGGTGGAACAAAAAGACAAGCCGAAGCTTGTTATACTCGGTACCGGATGGGGGAGTGTTGCATTGATGAAGAGCTTGAACCCGGGAGACTATCATGTCACGGTCGTCTCTCCCGTAAACTACTTTCTCTTTACTCCAATGCTGCCTTCAGCAACAGTTGGGACCCTCGGACTCAGCTCGTTGGTAGAACCTATTAGGTTGGTTGTACGGAGGCTCCGTGGACACTTCCTTCGAGCAGAGGCAGTGGATGTAGATTTCGATGAGAAACTCGTTGAGATATCTCAGGTTGACTGTGATGGCAATCGAAATAACTTCTACCTGCCGTATGACAAGCTAGTTATTGGAGTTGGTAGGCCTTCTAAACCCCCCTTCATTGGTTACGTCTTCTAATACTTATCTCTGTCTAGGCTCTACAACCAACCAGCATGGCGTTAAGGGGCTCGAACATTGTAACTTTTTGAAATCCATTGACGATGCTCGTCAGATTAAAGCAAAAGTGCTACGGAACTTGGAGGTTGCTTGTCTTCCGACAACTAGCGACGAGGAACGAAAACGTCTTCTGTCCTTCGTTGTTTGTGGAGGCGGCCCGACTGGTGTTGAATTCGCCGCTGAGCTGTTTGACATGCTAAATGAAGACCTGTTCCGATCGTTCCCCAGGATTCTCAGAAACGAAATATCTGTTCACCTTATCCAGAGCAGGAGCCATATTCTTAACACTTATGATGAAACCCTATCTCTCTACGCAGAGGTATATATACCCCTAGTACTCCCTCGTCATTTTGATTTCTATTGCATTATGCTAACTTACGTAGCGACGATTTGCTCACGACCAAGTTAATGTTCTTACGAACTCAAGGGTCAAAGAAGTTCAATCCGACAAAATCCTATTCACCCAAATGGAAGATGGAAAGCCGGTTGTAAAGGAGATTCCAATGGGCTTCTGCCTGTGGTCAACAGGAGTCGGTAAGTGTCGCCATGAAGGATCATCGTCAATAACTCAAAACTGACGTATACAGCCCAAGCTGAACTCTGCCGAAAACTCTCTAAAAAGCTTGAAGGACAGAACAATAGGCATGCCCTAGAGACAGATACCCATCTTCGACTCCTCGGAGCTCCACGCGGAGAAGTATACGCCATTGGAGATTGCTCTACAGTACAGAACAATGTTGCCGATCACATCCTCTCCTTCTTACGTGAAATTGCCTGGGAAAAAGGTCGAGACCCCCAGAAAATCCATCTCACCTTTGGTGAATGGCGCGATGTGGCCCAGCGTGTAAAAAAGCGCTTCCCACAAGCTTCAAACCATCTGCGAAGACTAGACAAGCTTTTCGAGCAATACGACATTGATCGTAGTGGCACCCTGGATTTCCATGAACTGCACGAACTTCTTGTCCAAATTGATTCAAAACTCACTTCCCTTCCTGCAACCGCCCAGCGAGCTAACCAACAAGGGCACTATCTCGGCCGCAAGTTCAATAAAATTGCCCTTGCCGTGCCCGGCATGCGATCAAAGGAAGTCAACTTCGAAAGCCTTGATGAAAGCGTTTACAGAGCTTTCGAATACAAGCACCTTGGCAGTTTGGCATACATTGGTAACGCCGCTGTCTTTGATATCAATGGCCTTAGCTTCGGAGGCGGTTTACTCGCCGTTTATCTATGGCGAAGTATTTATTTTGCTCAGAGCGTCAGCATCAGAACTAGAGTCCTGATGGCGATGGATTGGGCTAAGAGAGCTCTATTTGGAAGAGGTACGATCTCCAATTCTTATTCCCCAGTATCTTGCAGAAAGATATCCCCCAGCAAGAAAGGAATTCCATACTAACACGCCATTTGCTAGACATGATGAATTTCTAAATATGTTACGCTAAACACCGGATTGCACATTCGTACTACTCACTCAGTCATTCATTTGGATGTTTTTTTATTCTGGATAATACTCTTCTATACCGACCCTAGACTTTGCTGTTTGACATCACCTCTCATTCATGATTTTCAGTATTGGCTTTTATTCCTATATTGCTTTTTTGTATTTAGCTTTGCTTGTTTGTGTTATTATGTTTTCTCTACTTTGCCTATGATTGCTTTGAAGATTTCTGTTGTCGCTGGTCGAATTTCCTGCGTTTGCATTTAGTATAATGCCTTTGTTTTACAGCTCTACATAAGTATGGTGCCATTTTCATTTGATCCCTTTTCATGAGTACACATGCGCTATTGGGTGTTTTTTAAACCACTTTTACAGCTGAGCAAATTACAGGGTGATAGAAAGTCGCTACTCCTAGTAGTGGACCGAGGGATGGCAAATGTTAGACTGGTTTATTTTTGATACTTGAGGGCAAGTTTGCATGGAACAAGAGAAATATTGTAACTGATATATCATTATAAGGTCACCTTAGTGAAATTTGTATTCTTGGAGTTTGATAGAACATGCTCATTGGAGTCGTTCTATTCTCAAATGAGCGCTGCCAACTAAAAAAAAGCCCATATTACTCCGAAAATCCTTGCGCCACGCTAAGCGAAGTAAAAAATAATACGCAAAAGAGTCATCATAAAATAATGCACATCTGGAAGTGTGCCGATGGTTAGTGGACCATGGAATCGAGATCGCGCTCTTGCATGACGATATCATCCTGGCCAGCTGCATTCTGTGAACCGTTGGTTTCACTGCCGTTGGTAACATCATTGTCAAACCCGATATCTAACTTGTCGGGAATGTCCTTTTTGGAGTTCCTGGCCATTTTTTCAGACCACACACGAAGTTTAACAAGAGCACGAAGTCTAGCTTCGCTCATGGACCCTTGTCTTTGGAGTATAGCCTCGTTTACCTTGGATGCGACTGTTTTGCGCATTGCTGGATCGAGGAGCTCATTCAATGGGGCAGAGAGATTTTCAGGAGGAAATATTAGTAATGACATGGTTTCCTCGAGTTCTTTAATAAACTGGGGTTCAGTAGGAGCTCGGGGTGCCAACTGTGATGTGGCGAAGTCTAGGGCAGGAGTAATGTCGGTGTTCGGAGAAGATATACAAGTGCGTATCAACTCAATGAGCTGAAGACGAAGTAAAGAGAAATGGAGCTCGGGCTTGTCATCGAGTAGCTGTTAAATATCTCGTCAGCAGCAAACTCGGTAAGAAGTTGTCTGGCTTGCGATATAGATGAATTATCCCAATAGAATCATACTGAGGACTGAAGATGAGTAGGTTTCATCAATGCCCTTATAAAAGGGTCGTTATGCGTGGTGCATGAAACATCGTCTAATCATGTGGAATGGAAATAAAAGGAGTCAGGAAGGAAATTAATTACCTGTGGATTAAGCTCGTTGAGCTTCTCGATTGCTGACTGGATATTACCTGAATAAATCGCATTTCGAATCTCAACGCGCTCTTGTATCATGTCAGAATCATGTCTCTGTGGAATGTTTGCTTCCATGGCAAATTTATTCGCCGCTGAAGGATATCCGTTTGTGACAAGATAATCCATTACTAGATAGTTAATATCCCTAAAGAGCCACCTTTGTTAGCGAATCTGCTGAGCCAAGGCACAAAAACAGGTGTGGATGGATGTTTCAGCTCAGGCAACAAGTTAATATTGTTTTTTCCTACACGAGATTTTCGGAGAGATTCCCAACTTGAGTTTTAACTCATCATAGCATCGACATCAACAACGAAGCAAGCTTTGAGGTTGCTTAAGGATTCGGGGAGAGAAAGACAAAAGGCTTACATTTTTGATGGCTTATGCTCCTCCATCTTCTTCTCGAAGTTCGACCATGTTGGTGTGGTCGTCGAGGGAGTTGGTGACATCTAGACAGTTTAGTAAATCTCTCCGTGGTGAGTAAACATAGAGAGAACTCGCTCCACATACGAGATTCGCAGAGGCCATCGTTATCAGCTTTTTGAACAGTCTCTAGCAGAGTAAAAGCAGGCTTGCAAAAGATGTGGTTATCTATTCTTTAGTCCATGCACCTGCCATTGCCCTTCTATGAGAGAGAAAGTGGGTGTAGCAGGTCAACAGAAGCAGAGGCGACGCAGAGGAAAAGAGAAGCGAAGGAAAGTCGGAGGTTGGAAAGAAGTTTCTGCTTTTTGTACTTGCGAAGCTAGTGGGGTCATGTGACATCCCGAGTCTGGTCGCGTGTTCGGCCGTCTTTTGGGCACAAGAAAAAAAAGCTCCACCCAAGCTACGGACGAAAAGATGAGAGAAGGGGGAAAAAATCTCTACCTCTTCTAGTCTGTTTCTTTTATATATATGTTATATATATTGATACCTCTGTAAATAGTGATACGGTCTAGGAGACTGGGTTTGCTTGCGGTATGTTTTCCCCCGTACTTTCTATGGAAACATGTTGATAGTGTGTAGCTTGTGGTAGGTATATGAAGGTCGTCATATAGATTCGTTAGGCCTTCAGGATACGGCGATCATTTTTTTGGACGGGGCGGCGAACTGCATTTTTTTATCATGGATACCAATATGCTTGAATCAGAGTTTCAACATTTCACGATGAGTCGGCAAAATACCCGATATCACTGTCCCTGGGAGCAGATGATTATTGTCGGCGTTGCGGGCAGCTCGGGCTCTGGAAAGTCCTCAGTGTCTCACGAGATTATCAACTTGCTTGATCTTCCAGGAGCGTCTATTTTGGTTATGGTATTTTACACTTCCAAAGGCGGTTGGGTAATGCGGATGAATTTATCTGACTCTGAACGCCAAAGGACTCGTTCTATAAAACGCTTACGCCCGAGCAAAACGCTATTGCACATGCAGACGAATATGACTTTGATTCCCCTCTCGCAATTGACTTTGACGTCCTAGTTGAGCTGCTACGTGATTTGAAGAAAGGGTACCCATCTATCGGTTTGAGGTAGAGCTGCTTAAAGCCCCGTCTAATGTTCCAACAGCCTCAAAGTCGAAATACCCAAATATTCGTTCAAGAAACATCAGCGTGAAACCGAAACGACAACAATGCACCCCCCGCGAGTCTTAATTTTAGAAGGGATACTGGCCTTTACCGATCCACGAATATTGGAACTGTTGGACCTAAAGGTATGGTACTCTGCACTCATATTTTATTCTTGGATAATTTAAACTTAACAAAACGATGACAGATTTTCGTCGAAGCTGATATGGATGTCTGCCTGGGGCGGAGAAGTTAGTACCCGAACATTAACATTGACACCTGGCTCCCGAGACTGACAGGTGGAAACTTAAAGTCGCGCGAGACGTTCGTGAGAGAGGAAGAACTATCGACAGTATATTAAAACAATGGTTTAAATTTGTGAAACCATCTTACACCAGATACGTGGAACCTCAACGGATTATTTCAGGTATTTATACTTTCATACCCTAGTACATCACTCTTACTAATATTAATTTAGATATTATAATTCCTCGTGGAATTGAAAACAAGATAGCGATCGGTATGCTGGTTTCTCACTCATACTGACCTTCTGTTCCGCTTGATGTTAACAAACTTAGACCTTGTCGTGAAGCATATCCAGCGAAGCCTTGTGAAGCAGGCTAATTACTACAATATACGTGATAGGAGACCGTCTATTAACCGCCGTCTATCCTTCTAACGGAAAATGTTGGCAATTCTAGTTTTACTGGCGATTATCCGCTTATGGTAAAGCGCACATATATCTACATATCGATGTTGCTGCGGGAAGTTTCGGTTACCCTCCGCTTTTCCAGATGTGCCTCTCACAAGCAAATGCTATTTATGATACGACTTATAAACATAGCTATTTTTGGAGCAAATAGTGATAGTCGTAAGACGAAGAACAGTTTTGCCTATGAGCCGTTTAAATTACTTCTTTCTCGTTAATTGTATATAGTCTATGTTGTGGGCATCAGGAACTCAAGTGCCAGCCTATACACTGTGATTTAGCAACATTTTAAGAGCTAGATAACGGGTTGATCGTTGGAGGTAAAAGCGAAAGTGAGCTCTTGTGCCTCCGTAAGATAGGTGCTTGATAAAGGACCTTATCTTATCAGATCGTGCACGGGCTAGTTATAGATTAAGTTCGTTAAGAAAATTCCTTTTTAGGTCAAAATTGTCGCATCGAAGTCTCAAGGGAAAAAAACTGAACTGGGCTATAGGTCTTGCCGCACCACTTTGCGCTCTATTCATTCTCCTAGTACTTTTCTTGTTTGCGTTTTAACAGGTCTCCGCCCCCAGATTTGCTCAACAATTTATTGAAAGGCTCCGCGAGACGTTGTAATGGGGGAAAAAATGGCTTCAAAAAAGAAAAAGGCCCGTTCTTCGGGGCAGAGCTCTGCCAATGTCATATGTAAGTAGTTATGTATTCTCGAAGCCGGATTACCATATCCATACCATCTTGTCTGAATACCATATCTAATCATGGTGCAGCTGATCCCCGATTCGCAAACATCCAATCTGATCCTAGATATCGGTTACCGAGCAAGAAACATACTCACGTTAAGCTCGATAAGCGCTTCTCACACATGCTGCGCGACTCTGATTTTTCCAAGAATGCCCCTGTTGATCGGTACGGAAGAAAGCTGGCACGAGATGACACGCGTAAACAGCTGGAGAAATTTTACAGATTTGATGAAGATGATGAGGATAAGGATGAACAAGACGAGTATCTTGAGGAGGGCTATTTAAGTATTGATGACGATGACGAAGTTCAAAAGGAATTACAAAGAGTGGAAAGGGTAGGCTATGACCCGGCGCGTGATGGTGGATTTGAATCTTCTTCCTCAGACGAGAGTTCAAGTGATGAGGAAGAGGATGAAGATGCGGATAATATAGGCGAGGAGCTCCCTGGCCCGGGCCAACAAGATACTGATATCCCTACTGGAGACTATACGGAAAGAATAGCTGTGGTGAATCTTGACTGGGATAACATTAAAGCTCAGGATTTAATGGCTGTATTCACGAGTTTCCTTCCCGCAGGTGGTGCAATTCGGAAAGTCTCAATCTATCCTAGTGAATTTGGACGTGAGAGGATGGAAATGGAAGAGATGGATGGGCCTCCAAAGGAGATATTTTCTCAGAATACCAAAGGAGAGGACGAGGACTCTTTATCGGAGGAAGAAGATGAGGAAGAGGTGGAGGAAAAGATCAAAAATTCGCTTCTTGTTGAAGGCAACGGCGATGATTTTGATGCTGGAAAACTACGCCAATATCAGCTGGAGAGGCTGCGGTACTTCTATGCTATTCTGACATGTTCATCGAGAGAAGTGGCCAAACACATATATGATGCCGTTGATGGAACGGAGTACATGAGCAGTGCCAACTTCTTTGATCTTAGATTTGTCCCCGATTCGACTGATTTTACGGATGACGTTCCTCGAGACGAGTGTACGAGATTGCCCGATGGATACCAACCAAGTGACTTTGTTACCGATGCATTACAACACAGCAAAGTCAAACTGACCTGGGATGCGGATGACCGGGCGAGAAAAGAAGCACAGGAAAGAGCATTCAAGGGAAGCAGGAAGGAAATCGATGAAAATGATCTCAAGGCTTACCTGGGAAGTGATAGCTCTGAAGATGAGGCTGAAGCTGCGGACGTCATGGAAACTGGGGCCACACAGAAGCTAAGCAAGAAAGAAGCAGAGCGTGCTAGAGTTCGAGCCTTGCTTGGCCTTAGTGACAAGCCTGAAGCTGGTAAGAAGGAAGCAAAACCGGTTGGAGAGATGGAAGTCACATTTTCAGCCGGACTGTCGGCCGCCCCCGCAAAGGAAACGGTGTTCGCAAATGAACCTGAAAAGGAGGAAACCACAAGAGAGAAATATGTTCGAAAGGAACGAGAGAGGAAGCAAAGGCGAAAGGCCAGGCTAAAGGCGAGCAGGTCTGGCGAAGGAACCCATGAAGGAGAAAATGATAACAAAACCGGCGAGACTAAAGGGGCCGAAGAGGATCTCGGTTTTGATGATCCTTTCTTTACCGCACCCGAGCTTGACGCTGCTAATGCTGCCAAACAGCGCAAAGAAGAGAAGAGAAAGCAACAAGAGCAACGAAGAGCTGAGGAAGAAGCATCTGCATCTAAGAGGGCTGAACTTGAACTTCTTATGATGGATGATGATAAGGCGGCACCAATCGCACACTTTGATATGAATGAGATTGAAAAGGCCGAAAAACGGTCACGCAAAAGTGGCAAGCATAAAAGGGGGAAGAAGGATACAACCGAAGCCGAACCTGTGGATAACTTTGAGGTGAACGTCAAAGATCCTAGATTCCAAAGTCTGTTTGAGAGCCACGAATACGCTATTGATCCCACGAACCCCCGATTCAAGCAAACGAAGGGTATGAATACATTGCTTGAAGAAGGTCGAAAGCGAAGACGCCACATCGATGATGCAGAACGCAGTGATGAAAAGGCTGGCCATAAACAAAAGAAAAATAAGCAGAGTAAGTCAAGTTCAGCTGTGGCAGATGATGGTGAAGCTGTCAGCAAGCTCGTCGAAAAGGTGAAGGCAAAGACGAAAAAATGAAACCCTTGTACAGCAAAACGTTACACTAATAACTAGATGAATAGAGTGAACCTTTTGGATCATACCATTCTATTGACCTCTTAACTTTTGTTATTTCTAGTCTCAAAATTCTACCTATATACCTATATATTATCTTCTCAGTCGTCCTTGTAGATGGAATTTTATATACTCGGAATGGTTAAGCGTCAATTGAGTTTAATATAGAACTAAGTTGACTAGGCATCACGTGATAATATAAAAATTTGTTTTCTAAGGAAGCGCGAAAAAGTTGCTGGTGGGTTGAGATATCAAGTACAGAAGAGAAGAATTTGATCAAAGGAGTGCAACATGGCCAGTTTTGATGATAATGCTACTCGGGCCAAGCGGAGAAGGATTGATGATGACGCTGCTGTTGTTTCAGCTCCCGAGATAACTTCATATCAGCAATTAAGAGATATCTTGACCTTTCAGCAGAGCATATCACAAGAAACAAAACAGGGTATGTGTAATTTTTTTTGTTAGACAGCCATTGTAATTGAATGGTCAATTGACAAATCGCGATAGGAGTTCGTCACTTCAAGGACTTCCTGTCTTCAATCCAAGGGGATATTTCGGAGACTGAAAAGGCGCAAAAACTTCAAGTTCTTCAAAAATATTGTGCTTCTCAATATGTTAAAAGAGGAGATGATAGCCTCTCTATTTGCTTTACTGACCTTATTAGTATATGGAATTTTGCAGAAAGCAACAATGAGGAATCTCTACTTTCTCTAATACCATCTGTTCTTGCATCGTTCCTGAAGACTGTCTCATCTCGGCTTGAATTCAGAGAATTTGCCATTGAGCTTAGCAAGTACTTGCTGAGCAAAGAAAATCTTAAACTTTTCAACCGCGGGCTTACTGCGAGCAAGTCAAAAGAGCATCTGATATCACCTTGCCTACGGCTTCTGACTGAGATTGTGTGCTTTGATGGTGGTGCAGTTGCAAAGGTCGTCTATGCCAAACGGGATATCACGCTAAAGAGGCTCGATGTGTTCCTAACAGCTCGTAAGGCCCAAGCGGAAGAAACAACTCCGGATCGACGTAAGCCTACACTACGCCGGATCGCCCAGCGATATTTGCTTGCGAATTTAAGATACCAAAGTCCTGCGGCTAAAGCTGAGCTTCTGGGACAGGGGAAACTTGTGAAAGCATTTATAGAAGATATTAAGAGGGACTCTGGGGACATAGTGGTTGATATTATTAAGACTCTCGATAAATACGTTATCTCGGATACTGCCTTATCCCGTAGTATCAAGAGCCGTCTCCTTAGCCGATGGAACCTTGAAAGACTTGCAACTCTCTATGGATATGAACGGGATTTAGACGAAGTTACCCCCGGAGGTGTATCTGTTTCTGATGAGATCCACAAGTTTCTACTTACGGTTTGCACAAATGTTGAAAAAGGCGTGCTGCTCTCAGATAATGGCTGGTACTCAGGAAGCAACACGGAGCCATTGATAAACGACGACGAAACTATCTCCCTCGGCCTTGATGCACCGACTCACTTTGATAAATTCAACGAATCGATCCCCATTCGCAATGGAAACCTTTCAGTTTTGATTCAGTTCCTCCGCCCTGAATCGGACACTCGACAAATGCAGCTGCTCTTGAAGATTTTTCGAGCTGCTCCCGAGCTGGTGTATGATTATTTTTCGAAACGCAACATGTTTTGTTCTGACCCAAAACCAACACAAGCATGGCTTGGAGAGTCAGCATTTTTATTTTCTACAATCCAGCTGCCTGTCCCTCAAAAATGTGGCTTCAGAGAAGGCTCGCCAGCTGTGCCTCCTCCTGTGTCTGTGGCTATTGAAAGCATCCTCCCGCGCCCACTTACCCAAAGGATGTTGACCCGCTGTATGAACCAGAACACTGAAATTGTTACACTATTTGCAATCAAGGCAACAACAGCGGCTCTTCGGAAACTTCAGACAGTGTTAAAAATGTTTGAAACCATGGGAAGCTCGAATCCAGGCCTCTGGCATCAGGCTTCTACCAAACTTATGGACGAGTTCACTGCTAGGTGCCCCACAATGAAGGACACCATCACTGCGTTTCGACAAGCTCCAAAAGATGATCTCCAACAGCGAGATGCCCTTTTAGAACTACTTTCCTTATTTTATCAAGTTACTCCGACGGTAGCTTTTGAAGAAAAGTTCGACGTATCACTAACACTGGTAGAAATACTGAACCAGCTCGATAATGATGAATTATCTGCAGAAAGTCGCCAACTGCTTTTCAGCCAGCTGCAGCATATTCTGTCAATTTCACAGCATTCACCATCCATGCGTTGGTGGCAAAAGCCCGGTAAGCTGCATCTCACTACTAAGGCTTTTGATAGGTATATTGACATAATTTTCTAGCATCCCTATCCTTATCAGCGTTTACGTCTGTTCTAAAGATTGCCGTGGAGAAAAGAGAACATAGTGCTCAAGCCAAAATGAATTCCTTACTTCAAGACGTCTTGACACAGGATTCGATTTTGGCACAGCCCAAATCATTTGAGGCCCTGATGCACAGTATCCAGTCGATGGATGGGCAAGCTCCTATTCCTTGGCTCTTTATCGATAATTGCCTTACGAGACTGGCCAAACGGCCTGTTCCCTATCTTGACCAAGTGGAGTCCTTACCAAGGGAGAAGTCACCACAAATAAGCCCAATCCTCGTCGTTATTAGAGAACAGTGGCCTTTTATTGTGAAAGCACAGAATGATGAGAATGAGGTTTCAACAGCTGTGTGGATATCCACATTTCTAGGGTGTCTAAAAGCGTGTGGTGAGGACACGAAAGCGCTTTCTTCAGTTCGTGACAGGATTTTGGACGAAACCAAGTTTAAAAAGAGTCGATCTTTGTTGAAGGGGGCATTTGATCATGATATCGGAGTAGAGAGGCATGAAGATCCTGAAACCGACACTCCAACGAATGGTACTGAGACTAGTTCCAAGTCTGCGGCTGCCCAGGGCGTGAATTTGTCCGATGTCTTCGGCCAAATGCAAACCAGTGATGAATCTCATGTTGGACTGCACAAGTGGGAAAGAGAAGACCTCGAACTGGCAATAGATCAAGGATATATAGGGGATCTAATACTCTGCGTCTGCTCTGAGCACGAAGAAATTCGCCGTCAAGCCATGGCTGGTTTATCACGCTTCATGGCTAAGCTAAAGGTGAGTGTTTACTTTAAGGTGTAATTTTGGGGCAATATTTTAACTTAGCAAACAGGAATCCTCATTCGAAGAGCGGCAACCTATCTATGTGCTTATTGGTGAATTGTTGGAAACAATCAAAGGACTAGGGCTTGAAACGCCGCCACCGTTTATTATTGGAGAGCTCGCAGCTCGGATGCTAGCCATCCTCACAAACCCTAGCCATAGGCTATATGGAAAGATCAATACATTCCTAAACAAGAGTCCACAATGGGAAGTTGGGAAGATACCCTCGTACTGGATCGATAAAATACTATACCACGAGCCTGAAAGCGATGACGGCCATCATGAGGAAGTTGCCTGGTTATTGGATCTATTTATTAGCGGACTCCGATCTGAACTGGTGAGTGATCGTTATTGGGTGGTGTTGTGTTTCCACCTTTTTGGTTTATGTTGCTGACTCCAAACCTAGGATATGGACATATACCGACGAGCCGGCGTATTCGAACGGCTTCTCTCCCTCTACAGTTCTCCCGCACTGACGACAGGACTCAGAAAGAAGATCCTCCACCTAGTATATCGTGTGTGTGAGGTCGGGGGCAGCACGACGCTGGTCACCCGGGCTGCTGCTCTCAGCTGGGTGCAAGGCCAGATCGCAGCATCTGACGTCCACAGCAGCACCCTGCGAGCCCTCGCAACGGAGCTGTACAAGACCAGCTCCAACGAATGGGTTGATCGCTGGAGTGGCTCTGCGTTGGCAGCGGCCGTGGAGGCGACAGGGGCTTTGAGTGCACAGCAGTAGTTATAGAGTCCAGTCTGCCGTCTACCGTGGCACCCCATAAGAACAAATATAAGAAACGGATAATCCCTTGATCATCCACTCCATACATAACATATATACATAACATATACATATAATAATATCTATACATCAACGACTTCGTGTGAGTCGCTTTGGTGGTGCAAAAGAAAACTCTAAAGCGACCGCTTTGTAGTTATCTTTTTTTCTTAGTTACCCAGAAAAAATTCACCGACCAAGAAAAAGAAGAAAAAAAAAGTCCAGCCAAAAACAGCCATTGATCTATATAAACCGCCTCTCTACAGCATTCTCTCCGAACTAGGACTCCATCTACGAAGACGACACAGTGATAGATTCCTCCTGGACGCCCCCTCGACTCTTTTTACAAGACCCACCACGAACACTTCTAGCTTCAACCGCATCTCAACCTTGCCACGAATTGACAGCACCTCCCCCCATTCAACCGCAGCATCGACAGGGCATTGTTTTGATAATATCGGTTTTATTAGGCCCCTTTAACTCCTTCAGCCTTTTTACGCGCTCGAGTTTTTCTATTATTTCACCAGGGAGTGTGCCATGCGGCTTGGTTAGTCGATAACAGTCCCATGGCACGCAGATACTCACAGGAGGAGCTTTTACACCTACGGGAATCGCCTCTGGTGGTTAAACCGGATGGCTTGCCTCCAATAGAAGAATGGATGGGGTAAATTTTCACTCCTTCTTTGCTGCTGCTTCACTTCCCGAGCAACGCTAACTATCGTCTCCCAACCCACACAGACCGCTCCAAGACACTTCTACACAAAAGAAACACGCTACTTCCAAGGAGCAAACAAATCAGAACGAGTCAAGTGCTTCAGCGCGTAGGTCGAGTTTTTTTGAGCCGCGCCATATTTCTCGTTCCTCCAATTCGGGTATGTTAGCCAGCACAGATCCCCCCGCCTCTTAGAGTGAAAAAGGTTGATGTTGACAGTATCTTTAGAGGATATTATCTTGGGGCCTCCGAAAACCTCATTTTCTTCTTCAACGAGAGGATTTGGTAAATTCAGTGACCCTGACAGATATAATAGCTTGAAATCTCCAGACGCCGATGGCACCAAATCCGACCGCTTCCCACACCGTGACAACAAATTCTTAAAGGATAAAGACGCGGATAGAGACAGAGACCCTGATAAGAGGGACTCTAAATCTCATATCACAAACGGTCGACGAAGTGGACGGGAAGATAAGGACGATTGGGGAACTAGGCCCAGGCGCACCTTTGGTCAGGAGGACAGCAGTGACCGAAGAGTGAAAAGAGGCGGAGACAGATGGGATAGCAGAGACTTTAGAGAACACCGTGATCAGCAAGAAACTGGGAATGAACGGGGCCATCGTGGCGAGCAAGGCAAATACCCTAACCGTAGGGACACCCAGACCAAAGGCCGACACGACCATCCTTCTTGGTTTCGTGATGGTGATGCTCAAGAAAATGCTGAGCACGAAGAAGAGAAAACTCCTGTAAGGAATCGGGAATGGCGTCGAGGTGTGCAAGGCCAGGATAAAGACAGGGACAGAGACAGAGACTGGAACAGATCTACGAAGCACGAGCAGGATCCTGAATGGATGGATTCGTCAAACAAATCAGACCACAAGGAGGCTCATACCCAAGAAGATTTTCAGAGGTGGAAAGAGAGGATGAAGACGGGTGGTGCCCAACCATCAGATGAAACGAAGAATAAGGCCGCCCCTCCAGAGGTTACCAGCGTCGAGGCCAAACCGGCTGAAACGAAACGAACTGATGGAGAGATGTTTTCAAGCCTTGAGCCATCATATAAAACAGATGCTGGCTTCGACGACTTCTTTGGGCCTTGGGGAGGATCCAAATCTACCCAGGAGCCAGGGACATCTGGTAGTGCTATTGTTAGTTCTAGCACGAAGGAGGGCCAAGCTGCAAAGCCAGCAAAGTCTTCCAGGTTCGCCGGGTTTTTCAATGCTACTTCTGAAACTGCTACCAAAGAAGTTGAGGCAGCAGCTCCCCAACCAGCACGTCCGGTATCAACAGATGCTGATCAGGAAGGCTTTCAGCGAATCCTACAACTTCTTGGTGGTAATAAGTCAAGGAACTCCACTCCACAAGCAGAGGACATGATTCGGCCAAAACCAACACTACCACAGCAAAGCCAGCAAGAATTCGGCCATGTGCCAGCTCCCACCGCGTCTCCACACCGTGATATTGTTAATCGACAACCTTATATGGGCTATCCAGAGCCTCCACGTGAACAAAGTTCACATGGACTTGAGCAACTAATTGCGCAAAAGGCTCCAAAGGAGTCCCAGCCTTCTCCCTATGATGCTGACCTTTTGCTTCGGTTGATGCGGCAAGCAAAAATTGGTCAATCCCATCAGGGGCAGGTGCCAGCTCATACACCACTACATAATCCAGGCATTCAGAACATGCCTGACATGCAGTCTAGGAATCAGGAAATACCAAAGCAAAAGAGCCCGTTGTTCTTCGATGATCCTGCGATTGCAAACATGCAACGACCCGACGCGAATGACCCTAGGAACCAGCTACGTCGTAGACCTACGGGCGGCCCTCCTGGCTACTTTGATGAAATGCAATATCAAGGTCCCTCGAATGGAAGTCATACTCCAGCCAACCCTCCTGGTCTTCGGACCCAACCAACCGTTCAACCAATAGTGGGAATCCAACGCCCTCCAGGGCTTGAGCAGGTTACCTCCCCAGGAGGATGGCCAACCCCCCAGCAAATGCAGCAAGGCGCATCTGCCCAATTCATTGGACGTCCTGGAATCCCCAATCAACCCCCTAATCGTAGTATGAACCCGAATTTTCCCCCTGTCCCGCAAATGCCAATGCCAGGCGGAATGCCTCCACCAAATGACCGCCAGGCTTTCCAGCGTGGCCCTGGAGCCGGTGGCCCGGCCAACTTTGGACCGCCGCCTGGAATTGTCCCACCCCCCGGATATATGACTATGAACCATCCTCCGCCATCAGCATTCCCACCCATGCCTCATACTCCTGAGGCTATGATGGGGCTTTCTCACGGCCACCCCGCGCACTTCGGTGCCGGACCGCAGCAAGGAGTTGGTACCCATCAATCCTCTTCCCGGCAATTACTCGACATGCTCAGAGGACACAACG